TCCATTCCATTCCATTCCATTCCATTCTATTCTATTCTATTCTATTCTATTCTATTCTATTCTATTCTACAGATAAGATTCTATTCTACAAACAAGAAAATATTCATCAAGTAGATTAGACTGGCACTCAGGGATAAAGTTAGTGTCATTCCAATACATAATTCTATGGAAAATGACAATTATGACTGAGCTTTCCTCTTTGTGAAATTTTAATGATTGTCATTACCAATAGTAAATTATGTCATCTTTGAACATATTTCACAACTGAAAATAGAGACAAACGTGCCATATGCTTGTTCTCGTACTGAAGACAATGCCTAATTTTAGTCTCCCTTTCCTTTCATGTCACCTATACACTGTCTGAAGGCTCTGCTGAATCTGCTCCATTTATTTAATTCTAGACTTAAGCACTGAGATGTAAAAGTAAGTGATGGGTAAGTCATCCAGTGTTGAAAGACTTAAGAGCCAGGGATTTTATAAATTTCATTCTCAAGGTCCTATGTGCCTGGTCCTTGACTTTCAAGTACCTAATAATAGTTTAATACTAAACTTTAAAGATTCTACTTGCACAAAGCTTTTGCACCTATGTCTTTGAAAGTGGAGATCTTATTAATTTAATAGGGAGAAAATATTGTTGCAAATTCCATACAATTTTTCTAAAATGGTTTTAAAATATATAGAGATGTCAGGTTCAAAAAGCAAATATATTTAAACAAAATTGGCAGCTTTCATTCATACAGAAATGACTGTTGCTGTAAATTTAATCCAATATTGTTTGACATCTTCAGAAATGGACACAGTTGGCACTAGCTTTAACCCTGTAAATTCATTTTTGGCCACTGCAGATTTTTAAAAAATGGAATGTAGAATTAGAATCCTTGTAATATTTTGGAAGTTGGATTCTATAATACCCATAGCCTTGCTCTTAAACTATTCAGGATAGAAGGGAAACAACCTATAATAGGTGCTGTTTTATTTGAATTATATATTTCAAAGGCATATAACTGGTTCAACTGCAAGGATTTTTCCTCCTATAGTGTAATGTAATGTAAAAATGACCTTGAGAGACAGGGCAGAGATGCTGCCTAGAGAACAATCAGAAAAAAGGAGAGGGGGAGCCTGCAGCAGCATAATAGGCAGAAAAAGAAACTTAGAATGGATCTCCCCCCCCCAATCAAAATTATCAGCCTATAAGAAGAGTTTTGTACTTTCAGACATGGAAGATTCTGTGAATATAGCCTTACAATAAAATAAAATTAACTCATCTGGTCCGCTTCCTGTCTGTTCTACTCTGGAAGAGTGACACATAATTAGCTGCAATTAGCTTGTATTTGCTGGTCAGAATTGAAAATACTATTTAAAGTAAGGAACGAGCAAGAGGGCAACCTTATTGCAGACTATGGGTAACTATGAAGAGTAGATTAAATTACTCTTATTGGCAGGTGCTGATAAAGATCCTGATGGGTTTCACTACTTTTATACAGCTAATGGCAACAACTTTTATTTTAGGTATGAGACCACCAGGAAATCATAGTACTTTAAGTTTGATGTGGGAAGTGAACAACAATTGTTTGTTTTTTTGAAGAGAGTAAGAGTAATCCACTGCTCCACTCTTGAAGAAAATGACATATATATGATTCTGTGGTCACCAGAAATTTGGTTTAAATAGAAGGAAGAGTTACCTTTTAAATAGGGTATCTATCACTCTTCTTTTCTTCTCTCTTTCCTTTGCATCACTTCCATCCAGTTTCTCCCTTTCGTTTTAATCTTTTCCTGGTATGAATATCCAACTTTTTATCTAAACTCTATTCTCCCCCCACCCACCCCCCCGCCGCCTCTTTTGCTCTTTCTGTTAGAAGGAGGGATCCACATGTGTTTGTCCATATATGTGAGAAACTGTGTTATAGCCAGATGAAATCATTTTGTAAACTGAGTACCTCTTTTCTAGACAGTTGGATTTGATATTGCTAGCCTAAAAAGGACTGTCCTGTCCAGGTTTCAAAAATTTTCTTAAAGTCAGATTCCTCTTCCTTTTGGGCAAAACCCATAATATATGTTATTACCAGTACTTTTTTTCTTAAAAAAAAAAAAAGGTGTCGGAACTCACATACACCATACAACCCGCCTTGCCTACCCTACAAGGTTCCATCCAAAAATGGTGCCGGAACTCCGTTCTGGGCGTTCTATGGGGAAAAAAGCCCTGGTTATTACCAAATATATTGCTACCCAGTTGCTATAGCCAGGATTCAGATATACTGCTGAACCAGGATTCAGATACCGAGACAATGCATTTATCTGGATTATAACCAGTCTGAATGCTTTGGGGGTAAAAAGGCAGAATATAAATTGATTGAATAATAACAAAAACCATACATTCCAACATTTCATAGTTGAAAACTGACTTGTTATTTTAACCCCCTTGTTCCATAAGCAGTTTGATTTCATAACACAGAGACAAAATTACGCATTGCTGAAGGGTCTGCTCTGTTTGCTTACTGTGAAATTGTTATGAACTGATTCAAAATACAATTTGAACAGTTAAGAATAAGCCTAATGAACATGTGAAATAATGATACACTGTGCACTGCAGTATGCTTTCCTTACAATTGTATAAATGCTTACAAATTAAGAACTTGCATGTTCAGTGGGGCTTACTCTCTAATAAAAATGTCTTCAGTATTTGAGGGTTTCTAAAAAGGAAATGCCTCTGCTCCTCTATATGAAAATCCTCTTGTTTGAAAATGGAAGAGAACTGGTTCTTTGAGATTACTAGCAATATAAGAATGTATGGTAACTGGATGTTAATTAGACATTCTTCACACTAAGAGCATTAGAAACCCAGGACTGCTATTTATCACTGGGGGGAGAGAGAGAGGGAGGGAGGGAGGGATCATATATAGAGAGCAATAGCAGCTTATGTTAAACAATGCAATACTTTTAGAACTTGATCTTCAAAAATAATTTCAAGTATTGAAGAACAGCAACCATTTTTAGGCATTTGTTTCAGAAAAGGAATTTGGAGCAGTCATACTGCTCTTCTACCAGAATCGAAAATCTGTGTACTGTATAATATAGTCTCTATGTTTGTTTTCTCTTGGCTGGGATTCCTCAATGAATGCCATAAACGGATGAATGTGTAAAAATAAGCATACACCGCTAGATAACCAATGAACAAATGGAAGCATAGAGAAAGTTGATTTTAGATCAACAAAACCTGGTATACATTGATGTAAAATCAGTAATTTTGTGTGATACAAATTCCATCCTGTTTTTATCCATCACTTCCTTCTAAAGAAAATAGATCTTCGTTCAGATGGAAAAAAAATATATCTAAAAAATTCTATCAAATGAAAAATCTCTTTAGAACAGCTAGAGCAAAATCTGCCTCAGGTATGTGGATGTACTCTAAGAACGGAGCTGACATTGAGATAGGTATGAAGAGTAACCCTCAATTGCATGTGTATGATTGTAGGTGGTCACATCTATTTGCCCCTTGTTTGGGGCAAAAAGTAGTTTTAACGTGATACTTTTCTTGGAAAATATTTTGATGAAAATGTAAATATTCTTTAACTACTACCTAAAAATATATATTCCAATGGTTTATTTTAGATTTGTTTTTCTGTTTTATGTAAAAGTCCATTGAAGCGTGAAGTTTCAGAGATATTATTTCCTTATGTTTAATTGTATTAAATACCAAAATGAATAATACCATTATTCCTGTCTGAATATATTTTCTCTAAGTTGGAGAACATTAGTGGAAGAATGCAAAAAGGCGTGAACATATATTGAGAACATATGTCTATTTCTTAGCAGTTTGAATTTTATTGACATATATGATTTAGATCTGCTATAATGTATCGAATAATAAACACCATAACTTAAAAAAATGAATAGTGTCAGAAACTGTCACTATCTACTTGCTAGTGCTTCCTATTATGCATGTAAAATATGAATATTTTTGTCATAATATTCTCCAAATATTCTGTGAAATTATTTTTGACAAGTTAATTTATGGAATGAGAAAGCAATCTTTATGCCATTAGGAGAGGGGGGAAATTGTATACTAAAAAGAACAAAGAAAGGGTAAGAAAGAACATAACTAACTTGGATAAATTCAAGTATCCAGGGTCAGATGAATTATGTCCTTGGAAAGTGTCACCTAAACATTTTCAACCCAGTGCTTCTATACTGTATAAACCACTATGCCTTTGCACACTATCTACTTGCTAGTGCTTCCTATTATGCATGTAAAATATGAGTAGTATTTGACATAAGATTTTTCAATAATTGTACCAATTACTTTTATCATGCCCTTTTAGTTGCATTTAGATTACATACTATTCATTAGCATACACAGATTTAGTAAAGTAAATAAAATGAGATTTATTATAAGATCCTAGTATGATCCTTGAGCTTGGTTGTTTTTACTTAATTTCGTAATTCGAATAACAAAAATGAAAGGCATATGTACAGGTTGGAGAGGCCGTGTGTGGGAGTAGTAAAAATAAAAAGGATGTTGATGTCTTTTCACCCCTAAGTTAAACATAAGCAAGTAGAGTGTTGCAGTTGATAAAAAGGCAAATGCTACACTGGAGAGAACATAAACAAAAAACAGAAGATAGCTGTGAGGTGGCATCATTATAGCAACTTTCAGTTTGTCTATTTCTAACCCATTTTTCATTTATGCTTTTGCATTTAGATATCTAATGAATATTTAACTTCTCAGACTTCTCCCTTCAATATGTATACAGATCCTCTTTACACATAGTCCTGAATGACAAGGAGGAATTATTTCAATTTCTTTTAAACAATGTGGTATCCTTTAGGCACCAGAGACCTGTGATTCAAATGAATTGGTTAATCAAGTTCATTAGCAATCGTGATTACAGCTGTGAAAGTAAAAAAAAAAGGCCAAACATTACATTTATTGTATTGTTATAGATTTAATAAATATGCCGGTCATACAATTGAAATTTGTATGCTTTTTTAAATATATATAGGTGTGCCAAGAAAAGAAAGCATGATTGAAAGAAAATGACTTCTTTGATCCTGATGACTCCAGTCTTTGTTTCTTCATTCTCAATCTTAAATGCTTGGACAGCTTCTTGCAAAAGTGATGCAGTGCTAACTTGGCAGTGAAATTCTACAAATATTCATTCTCTGACTACCAGGTCTTTTTACTTATGATGGTAAGTTGTTTTATTAAACTGTTGGAAGTAGCAGGCTTCTCAGTTTCGGTATGCAGATTCTGGAAAGAGCACTGAATAAATCAGAGTTGTTGCATGTTCTGCTAGAGTATATGAAACCCAAACTATTTTTTGACTGGACAGAGCTATTTTATAAACAAACTTTTTCAAATCACTCTAAAATACAAATAAAAAAGGATTTATTGAGACAAATAATTATACGGCTTTGCTACTGCGGGATAATTAGTTTCTTTCCTTTTTCTTCATTCCACCTTCCATTCTTCTCCCTTCCATAAAACTGAATGATACTCAGATATTATGTGCTTGTTTATTTATATGTTTCATACATCTACCCATCTCACATACGTGACTGTTCTTTATAGAAACGTTTTTGAAATTGCTTATTCAAGAAACAAGTTGTAAGTGACGGGTCACCTTGACTCTGGTTGCCTAGATGAATGAGAACTCTTTCTGAATGACGGATCATGCAAACATTTATACTAAATAAAAAATAATTTATGAGACTATATTTTGATTGTGCCTTTAGAATACTGCAATACTGATCTTGCAAAACAACAAAATGAAAACCTTCATAGTTTGCAGATGTGGGCCCCAGGCTACAAGAGATGAAACAGTAAACTGCAAAATCTGACAGGCTTATTGAATTAATATTAGTTAAAAAAATGTTGGTGTATGGGTATATCATCAGTACAGGTAGTCCTTGACTTATGACCAGTCACTTAGCAACCATTCAAAGTTATGATGGACCCCACCCAAAACTAGTTATGACCCTGTTCCAGAGTTCCCAAGAAATATTTTCATAGTCACATGACTGCATTTTGAGTGCTTGGCAATAGGCTAACCTTTATGGCTAATTACAGTATAAATATGATCACATGACCATGTTTTATGATTTTTTTAAAAATCAGTTTCCAGGTTTTTTTAATGGTGTCTATAAAAAAACCACCTCTTATAGAAATATATTGATTCACTTAACAACCACAGTTTTAACTTAACTACCAGCACAAAAAAGTTGTAAAGTTAGATCTGGTCATGTAGCTGTCTTGATTTATGACCACTATGCCTTATGATGAAAATTCCAGGTTTTATTGGGGTCATAAATCAAGCAACTTTATTGTTGATAAAATGCAACAGAATCCTATTATTTTTGTTTGAAAAAGCAAATTACTGTATAAAATGTTCGACTGTTCTAGTCAGTGCTTTTTTTCTTTAAAAAAAAAAAGGTGCCGGAACTCACACACGTCATACAACCTACCTTGCCTACCCTACAATGTTCCATCCAAAAAAGGTGCCAGAACTCCGTTCTGGGCGTTCTATGAGAAAAAAAGCCCTGGTTCTAGTTAAACAGAGTGACAGGTGTAGAATATACTATAATATGCTACATAAGCGGTGCCCCATTGGCTCATTATTTCAGATTGACCAAAGGTGGGCAAAAAAGCTGTGGGAGCAGGAGTGACTTCTGATTTCCTGCTACCTTTCCCATTTAGTTTCCTTAGGGGAATCTGGCAGGAAGCACTGGAGATCTCCCCTTCCCTTCCCAGCAGCAGATAACTGGCTACTGCTAAGTGGGGGAGAGAGCAAGGAATTGTAAAACTGGCTAGTAACTGTCATGAACATTGAAAATGGAAATTACGTGGCTGCAACAGTCATGTAACAGCAATCAATAATACTGAAGCAGCCATAACTTTCCCAAATTTTATTCCCTCGGGAGTCATGTGTTCTGGATTTTGGACATTTTCTGAAGCATCTTGTTTCAAAAATTGTTGCCCTACAATGCATTGTTTTATGCAGTGCAAAGTCATGTTAATGAGAGTTTTAGTATTATATAGACTTATATTTGTGGCTTCAAATCAGTCTTGATTTCTGATGATTCCCCGGACAAGTCTCTGCAATTTTCTAGGCAACATTTTTAGAAATGCCTTTCCATTGTCTTCTCCCTAGGGCTGAGAGAATGACTGGCCCAAGGTCCCTCAGCTGGATTTTGTGCCTAAGGCAGGACAAGAATTTATAATCTCCCTGTTTTTATGCCCAATTTTTTTAAATGTCTTGTTTAGTTTTGCTTTGTAATTTTTTCCCCTTTTTTGAAATTTGTATTTTAACATTATGAATAAAATAAAAAACACTTATAAAAAAAGAAATATTTTACATTCTATGTATGTGTGCCAATTTAAAATACTAATATTTCAAATCTTATTTGTAAACAACAGTGCACCTCTGAATATTTACCATTCGTTTGTTCTTCTGTTACTAACACTTGATGACTTTATGTAATCCTGAAAGCAAAACAGAAAGCTTAAGATGATGGTGGCTATATTGCTATTAGTTATATATATATATAAGATAAAATGTATTTATGGTTAATGATTTGAAATGTAGGTTTAATGATTATAGATTGAATTCTATTATATAGTGAAAACACCAGGCTGTTTTTATGTATGCCCATGTCTTCATTAGTACTTTGCTTAGCCAGCCTTATTGACATACTGTATAATTTTTAGAATGGGCCATTTGAGTTGATAGCACTATACTGAAAAACACCATTCACATTGATTATGCATTCATTAAACAAGTTTTTCTCTAGGGCCCACCTTGATTGTGTGACTTTTGAAATAACAATTCATGGAAGATGAACCATGCTTCTTTCTATTGCATCTTTTTATTTTAAATATTGACCAGCACAGCATATTCATAGTCCTCATTTTTCAATCTCTTCTTCCTGTGTATCAGTCACTGAAAAGTAGTGGCTTGCTAGCTGTTTCTCTAAGACATCAGTTCTCTTGCAACATAATTTTGAGCATTATTATTTTTTGAGGTAAACTTGAAAAATAGAGTTGTAATGCTGTACCACAAGACAAATTCGTTTCATTTTTGGAAAAAGAAAATACCCCAACTTAGTTGTGCCATGCTCAGAAACTCTGCAGAGGGAAAGAAATGCAGAGATCACTGACATGGAATTTTAAAAAACCTTGCTCTTAAAAAATATGTTCCAGTCAATTATTTTAAATACTAAATGTACTTGTAAATATGATAATAAAAATTTACATGTCAAAAATATTTTTGGCGGGCTATTATTCTGTTCCAGCTTAGATGTTTTCTAAGGCTCTTTTTCAACTATCTGTTTCCTAATGGCCTAGTTTTCATAACTGTGTTCAAGATAAACATCCATCTAGTCAAGTGTCCTAGACTAAGGCTGTTTAGGCAGCCTTACACTTAATTAATCTTGATTATATTGTGAATTTCATGCTATATTTAGTATACTTTCTTTTTCTTTTTTACTGTTTGGAAGTTTCTGTCATTTAACTGTCTAGCACTGAGGTCATAGCTTTGATGGATTTTAATCGCCCTTTTATTTATAAATATAATGAATGTGATCATTTCCATCCATATTTCTGATTATGTTGTTTTTGGAAAGTATATGATTTAGAAATCTTTTTTTTCCTTTTTGATTTGTTTTTGAAAAAAATACTGACCTTATCCTGAAACCTGCATATTTTAAAAAGCTAATTAGATCACCAAGTAGGGATGAGCCTTATACATAGTGGGGAAAAAAATGCCATGGGCCCTGAAGGGAAGAATTATTGCTTATCACCAATAATATAAGGGATTCTAGTGTTGTTGCTGTTGTTGTTGAGTCATTATGTGGGATTGCAGTGGATGTGCTAATTGTGTTGTAGAAAAATAAGCATAATATTTCTCCACAAAACGGATAAAATGCAGTTTCTTGAATCTTCCCCTTCCCAACAAACAGTCACATCTCAGTGGGAGGGAAGTGCTCAGTTCCTTAGCAACAACAGGGAGTATCTGCTCAGCTATAGAAACTTACTAGTTATGCTTGGACCAGCTGCTATCTCCCAGCCTGCAGTAGCTTGCAGGACTCCTTTGAGGATAAACTGCTGGTGGAAGAATCTATTATATCAGCTTGAAATTCATGGGACAAGTGGGTGGCAAATAAAAATGTATTAAAACAATAGTTATTAAGGCATTTCTTATGCAATTAACAACCACCTTGAATCATATTAATACACACCTACAATTGTTTACATGAACCATTTGTTTTTGTTTGTAATTTTCATCCTTGTTCAGAATGCCAGTTCTATCACTTTTCCATAGGCAGCCTCACAGAAATAATTTGCTGAGTTTCACAGCCAGCATTCTCTTCGATGTCCCAAAATACTGGAAATAACTTAGAATCAGGCTAGCTGGCAACTTTTCCTAAGTAGTTTCTCTCTTTCCTGTGTGGCATGACATGAATCTCTAATTTCTTTTCTTAGACTGTTTTTTCCTCCAAGCTGGCAGCCGTATGAACCATTTAGCTTTTATTTTTGGCATTGTTGATTCTTTTTATTCTATATTTATTTAAAACCATATACATTTGAGTAATTATTTCAAATGGTTTACAAAAATGAGAACTAACAGGATTATATAAAGAGATACAAACATAAAAATACAGCCATGTTTCATTTGCTAAATTATCCTTTAAATGGGATATAAATTAGTATAGTTAATCTTGCTGGTTGAAGTTAAAAATATTTTAAAAACTAACATGTGAGAGCAGTTGACAGATAGCACTCCTGTTAAAAAATTTAATATCCTTAATTATAGCCCCTCTAATACTATTCTGACCAAGAATGAACTACATGCTGGAGATCAGTGCTGTTCATTAAGCAGCCAATTTAGTGAAATAAAGCACTCTAGTGCCCACAAGAAAAGTTCATTCTGTGCCATCTTTTTTTGGGAAACAGAGCAGGGAACAAAGTCCAGGAAACACATTTAATTCCTCTGTTGGAAAGAAAGACAATGAATAGCACGGAAACTTGCTTTGCCAGAATCTATTTTATGCTGCTTTTAATTGCATTATCAGATTTGCAGATATACCTTTCACAAAACCACTTTTATTTTGATATATATATTATGAGTATTTTGAAACAATTTATTTTGATCCCAATAGAGAATTATAGGATTTGCCCTTGACTGGCATGGCA